TCCACGAGAGCCTGGCTTGTTGGCGTCTCGCGGCTCCGAGGCCCCTCAAGCTGCCAGACACGGAGCCCGCTCTGTTTGAGTCGGAAGGCAGCGGAGGATCTTGGGCTGAGTCTCCTCTCGTGCAGCCGGGCCAGCTGTCCACACACTGGGTTCCCATGTGACAGCGAGGCAGGCCTGTCTTGGGACAAGCTGCCGCAGGGACTCTGTAGAACGGGTCTGGCCGAGACAAAGCTCTTTTACCAGGGGGAGGTCCGAAGGGGCCCAGAGGGTACCTCCCGGACACCCCAGACAAGGTGGCCTGGTGCAGACCTTAGAATTTTCTGGGAGCCTCGGAGAGAGCCCGCAGGGGCCCCAGGGACTTCAGAGCACACCGAGCCGCCTACAGGGTCTGAGAGGGCGGCCGACGGCCACCAGAACGGGCATGGGCTCCCCGAGCCACAGGGTGAGGGCGGTGCTGTGGCCCTCAGGGCCTCGCGGTGATGGCCCGGGTAAGGGCCTTTCCCCTCTGGCCGGTGAACTTGGCCAGCTGACCAGGATGGTCCTAGATGTGGGCAGGGGAAAGGTCCCATCTTGGGAGGTCTCAGAGTAGAGAAGCCATCCGGGCAAATCTCCTCAGAGGCCATGTCCCACAGGCGTCTCCAGAGGTCCCGACAGGACTCAGGACGTATGAGGTGGCCGTTCTGTCAGCCACTGATGGAGACCTGGGGAGCCCCGGTGGGGAGAGCTGTTGGGGCAGGACCCATGTCTTCTACTCTAAGGTGCAGGTGGGGCCTCGGCCGCCGTGACACATGCCTGGGCTGGGGCAGAGGTTGTGGGTGACATTCGAGTCCCGACGTGAAAGGGGTCGTCATCCAGGCTGCCGAGCCCAGGGAGACGGAGGAGGCTGGGCCCGTCCGGAGCATGAGCAGGGCTGGACGAGGGGGGCCTGGTCCGGGGGTGGCCGATAGCAGGGGGCCCAGGAGCTGCGGGCCGGCCAGCCACCAGGTAAGGTAGACCCCACGCTGCAGTGGACACAGGAGCTTTGCTGCTTGCAGTCGGGGGGCTCAGCCCTCTGGGGGTGTGGGCACGAGGAAGGAAGATCGTGAGGCCTGACGGAGGAGCTGCTGACCCGTTCCCACACCGCGGATGGTCTCTGCCGATCCCCTTTCCTGGGGACGGGCTTTCAGGCCCCAGCCCCAGCAGTTGGCTGGGAGCCGTGAGGTTCTCAAGCCCAGTCGGGGCCAGAATCCCCTGGGGGGTTCGTTCAGACACAGGGTGCCCCCGCCCCCCCCAGCCTCAGAGGCAGGAGTCTGCGTGAGCCTTGAGAACGTGTCTGACAGACACGTGGCAGGTGCACTGAGCGCCTGGGCCCAGAGAAACTTCCCCAAGGGACAGGATTGGGGAAGGGCCTTTTCTGGTTGGTGCCCCCCCGCCCCCGGACCTTCCCCTGGGGTTCTGACCAGCTGTGGAGACCGGGTTTCTCTCTGGCTGACCTTCGCTGTGCTTGTCAGCAGAGGGAAGGGTGGGAACGTGTGTGCTGGGCGCCCTTCCCTCTGTGTGAGTGACCATCTCCCTGTCGCAGGCTGGCCCAGCTGGACATCGACAACCACCTCGCTCAGTGCCTGGAGGAGAGTGCAGAGGACGTGGTGTGGTGACTGACCTGCGTGAGCCCCGCGGGCACGGAGGCCCTGACTCCACCTGCCAGAACCGTTTTGGAAGCTGCCTGTTAAAAAACGTGTCCATGTGGACAGCTGGCGTCGTAGGTAGTTCGTCTTGAGGCCGAAACACAGGATCCTTTCTGGCTTTCGGGAAGCGGGGTGCTTTCCTGTAGTCAGAAATGGGCAGAGCCCCTTGGCGGGCGGACCCCGGCCCGCGCAGATGAGCGGAGACTCTCGCGAGCAAACAAGGCATCTGTCCCAAAGTCGGCCGTGTCAACAGACAGGTGGACAGGCGGGGGGCAGTGCATTCTCCCACCTCCACGGACTCCGCTCGCACCGTGTTTTAATTCCCCGGATGAACTTGTTCCTTGCACGGCGCAGACCGCTACAGGGTGAAGAGAATCACTGTGAGGCACCCCGGACCTCGCCGACGGGCAGGGTCTCCTCCAGTGGGGAACTTCAGGGCAGGGAACGGGCCAGGCGCCACCGGCAGTGGGCAGGCCGGTCTGCCGGAACATTCCGCACCAGCCCTGTGTTCGGGCTTCCAGGGCAAGTGGAAAATGGGGCACGAGACCGTATAGGTAGTTTTCCTTCCGGTGCTGGTGGCCCACGGGCTCTGGTGACCTCTTCGTCCCCACCACAGCCACGTGGCTGTAGAGCGCCGGCAGCGGGAAGCGGGTCACACCAGCCGTGGAAAGACCACGGGGGGGGGGCCGGGTGACAGACGCCGCTCTGAAAAGACTACCTGGGACAGGACTCCAACTGGGGGAGCTTCTGGGAAAGGCAACACCACGGAGACGGGAAGAAGACCACTGGTGGCCAGAGGATGGGGGAGGGGCACGAATCGGGAGCCCGGGGGGCTCTCGGGGCCCGAAGCTACTTTGCATGAGCTGAAGTGGCAGATACGTGTCCTGAAACGTTCTGTGCAAACCCGCGTGCTGCCCAGCACCGAGACGTTCACGTGGCACCCTGGAGACGATGCCGCGTCCCTGCAGCCTCTCGGAGGGGGAGGGGGACCACGAGGGTGGGGGGTGCGCGGGGGGCTCTGCAGCTGCCCCGCCATTTTCACGTGAACCTGAAACTGCTCTAAATAAAGCCTGTTTTTTAAAAAACCGCTGCTTCCTAGAAACATCCACCGTTGACGAAAATAAGCGCAAGTGTGTTCGCTACAGCCTGTGCCAGAGGGGCAGAGTCCGCACGGCCTGGGCCCGGGGGCGGCAGCATCGTCTGCAGGAGGCAGGCGGCCAGCCGCACGGCTCGTAACCGCACAGACCACACGGGACAGCGCGGCGCCTCCTGTTTCCTCGGGCCAGCAGAAGGACGCGCGCCGTACGGGGCCCAGAGCCGTCGGCAGATGTCGGGATGGCTGTCTCCGACCCCCCCTCAATCTGTCCTGCACCTTAATTTACACTTTGGCCACAAGCGGGACGCTGCACACGTTCACACGTGAGCGGCCACGCTGGTAACTGGGAAGCTGGTGGCACCGCGGCAGGGAAATACGTGCTGCAAATGGGGACAGATCCGGGGCCCCTGCAGACGTTGTCCTTGTACCCACTGTGGCAAATGGCCCCCATCAGGACGAAGGGGGCTCTCAGGGGACGTTATCCCTTTCCTGGGCGCGCTGGGGGTCTCACCCTCCCCAGGTGACATCCGCTCGTCCCCGGGCGCTGCTCACCAGTCAAGAGTGACCGCGTGGCCCTCGGACAGGAGCCGTGCTACTGGACGTCACCACCGGCTGTGACACCGAGACCCCGAAGTCGGCTCCCGCATCTGCTCTGCGGTCCTGAATGTCGGTCTTCGGAGGCAACACTTCCGGCGTTGGGGTTGGGGCAAGCGTCCGTGTCGTGTAAAGGCTGCTCTGCAACCGGGGTGGGAGGGTCCAGAGGCCACGGGCGGCCGGGGGCTGTGGGTCGGTGGTGCCTCGCCCTGAGCACGCGAGTCGGCTCATCTGCCGGAGTCAGGGCAGGACGGGGGCACTGCCACGCAGGTGCCCCTTGTTTCCACTGTTCGTACCACCATCTCCCGCCCCAAACCCCCAGCCGCGGGGTGCAGAGGCGAGCCCCGGTGCGCGGGGATGCGGTGCGTGTGGTTGACGGAGCACAAGTGGGCAGAGGGACACTCGGTGTGTCCGGCGGGTGGAAGAGGAGCCCTCCCACGCCCTGCCCGGGGCTCGAGCCACAAGGAGCGTGTTAGAGGCGGCTCACCTCCTTTTAGAAAACCTGCAGTTTGGCATTCGTCCGAGGAGGAGGGTGATGGGCGCGTGCCACCTGGGCAGGTTATGGGGGCAGGAGGCGGGCTGTGTCAGGAGCGAGCGTGTGGGTGTTCCAGACTTATTCCGTAAGCGGACGGCCACCCACACAGATCTGTTCAAACTTCCCAATTCTGAGCATCACTATTACTGATACAGATAGTTTTTTAAAAATTTAATACGTAAGACATCACGTAGGCGCTGCTTAGTGTTTTCAGGAGTATTTTGTGCAAGTTTAGTTCGATTTTCTCCCTTTTCTGTGGTCTTCGGGAGCTTCGGGGAGCAGCGTTAGAATCTAGGATCCCGGCCCCTTGCCATCCAATGCCCCACTCTGGGTGAGGCGTGCCCTCTGCATCAGCCTGCACCGCTGTTCAAGCACCTATGTGTTAAGGGGCACATGGGGGGCTCAGCCGGTGAAGGGTCCGCTTCGGCTCAGGTCATGATCTAGCTGTTCCTGAGTTCAAGCCCCGTGTCGGGCTCTGTGCTGCCAGCATGGAACCCGCTTCGGATTCTGTGTCCCCCTCTCTCTGCCCCTCCCCCACTCGTTGTCTCTCAAAAACAAACATTAAAAACAAAAGTCAAACAAAATATGTGTTAAATCTCAGCGACAGGAACTTACCGAATCTAGCCTCCTGCAGGTGCACGGCCCCGCCCGCTGCGGCCCGCCCGTGTGATGTCACCTGCCAGGCCGGGCAGGCGCCCCTGGCAGGAAAAAAAGGCACCGAAGGCAGGCTTCGACATCATGGGCACATTTTATTCCTCAGGACGTTACAGGCTAAGTCTCCTGGCGGAGCAGGCCAGTTCTGTTTCTGTGGAAAGTGTGCACCTTCGAAATCGTGGGGCAGTTTGTCCCTCGGACACGGTCACCGCGGCTCCTCCGCGGCGCAGGCACAAGAAGCAGGTTCCTCCAGCACGAAGCCGGCCGCGCGGGCCCAGACGCGAGACCGGTCCGCCCCGAGAAGCGCCGGCGGGACGCCCCCGTCCGCGGTCTCAGCGGCAAGCGTCCCTCCCTGGCCGCGCCCGGAGCCCCGCGCCCAGCCTGGCATGCATGCGCTGTGGTTAAGGATAGAGTGAAGGGGTCATTCACAGACGTGTCCATGACACAGAAGACGGCCTCACACGGACTCCTCGGTGGACAGCAGTAACGGGTTGATGTACTCAAAACCTTCAAACTCCGACTGGTCGATCCTCTTTATGACGTCCCTGGGTGCACAGAACAGCGCGGGCTTGGGTCAGCCCCGCCCCCGCGGCAGGCCCCGCCCCCCGCCGGGCGGCATGACACCCCAGCCTCCGCCCCAACCCCAATGAGGCCCCTACGGCCCCGCCCCTGCCCGTAGCCCCCTAGCCCCTCACAGCCCCGCCCTCAGCCTGCGGCATCCCGCCCCCAGAAGGCCCCGCCCCGCCGCGGCTTCACCTCCTCAGGCCCCGCCCTCCTAGCGCCCAACAGGCCCCGCCCTAGCCTTCCCCCTGCCTCGCCACGCCACCCTCCCGAGGCCTTACTCGTCGTCAGGGGTCAGTTGCACGGGCTCGCTGGTGAACTGGGTGTCAAAGTTGTCCAGACCGTACTCGTCGGTTATCTGGGGCTGGAACGGTGGGAGGGCCTGCTTCTTCTCCAACTGGGAAGGACAACGCGAGAGGTCAGAGCCGTGTACTGTGCGTCGTCTCCACCGGATTTGGGTTTTGGAAGGGACTTAAGTCACAGAATGGAATAGGAAGACGGGGTTTAAACACGTCCTGTATCTGAATGCCAGTTTTCCATTCCCTTAAACACAAGATCTGGGAAAACGTATCTGAAGCCAGAAAAGTCCTGACCCGAGTTAAAAAAATGCTGGCGGTACCTGGGACAGAGCCACGCTGGGCCCAGTGGTCCTGCCACTGAACCCGAAGGAGGCTGCTCTGGGGAGTTTTTTTGTTTCTTACATCTTGGAATCGTGGTCATAAAGGAGCAGGGACTTGGCAGGGACACCACTGCCCACGCCGGTGCCTGGTGAGTGCCCATCCCGCGAGGCCCTTCCTCGCCATAAAGCCATCGTTGACCTTCTGCCTTTCTAATCGCAATGCTCACCAGGTAGGAAACGGGACTCCTCAGGATCCAGACTCTGACTTCCAACTCACCACTTATGGGGCTGGGACACACTTGTGCCACAGGGCAGAGACGAGTGTCCAGGACAGGTGCCATTCAGCAGCATGTCACATGGGCGAGGGTGGGGAGGGCCTGCCGGCTCAGTCCCTCAGTTACACGCCCAGTTCCCTCCCCCCTCACCAGGTGTGTGCTGTGCACCTACCAGTGCTGGGCCAGGCACGTTCCCCAGAACACTGAGCCATAAGTGAGGGACGAGGGTCCCTGCTCCATGGATCTATCGCGTTGGGTCTCCTCCCTCCCATGTAGCCACACGTGGAGCCAGCCCTGTGCAGCCCCCACCCGTCAGCTCCCAGGGCCTGGAGGGCCCTTGGAAGGGCTGAGCCCGGGTCCTCCTGCGGGGGCCGCCACATGTCCCCGAGCAAGCCGTGGGACTGTCCAAGACCAACGTGGCGGGGAGTTGTTCCGGGCACGGAATGTGACAAGCATGGGCCCCGCTGCAGCCAGTGAAGGACATGAGGGTGTCTCAGACGTGAGTCGTTTCCGGCAGCTGACCAACACGCACAGGGATGTGGCCAGCATGGCAGCCAGTCACAGGGCAGAGACATGCGTCTTCTGTCACCCAGAGGATGCCAGGAGGGGTGCGTGGCAGAGAGAACGGCTGTCCCTGCAGCCAGAGCGGGTCAGCCGTGTCCAAACGCACGGGCTGCCATGGGGCTGTGCCTGGGGGGATTTTGCAGTTTCTCACCTTTGTGCAATTACCCAAATTCTTTGGTCAGGACGAAGTCTTTTCCCACAAAAAGTGGGAAGGGGGGCATTTCTTAAACTAGCTCCCTACCTTAGGTCTTGGCTGCTATAAGATTTAAACAGCAAGTCACGTCAGATCAAGAAGCGAGCGCACCTGGGTGCTCACCTGGGATCCTCTCTGCCCCCCCCCCCCCCCCCCCCCCCCCCCCCCCGCCTCCCTCGGACCCCCTTTCCTCACTCAAAAGCAGGAGCAAGAACGGTGCACCTGGAGTGCCTCCCGGGGCGGCTGCTGATTGGCCGCACCGGGTGAGAGCAGAAGGAAGGTGCTGGAAGGGGCTCGCCACGGCGGCCGGGTGGGTCTGTTCTGATGGGCTGAAGGAGGTGGACGGCCCTGCGGAGTGTGCCAGGGGCATCGAGGGGCTCAATGCCGCCTGAGAGGGGGCTGCCTCTGGCGAGGCCGGGCAGGGGACCGCCGGGAGGGCAGCAGTGGGGGAGGGGAGAGGCACAGGCCCCGGAGGCGGCGTCCCCGAGGACTGGGCAGAAAGGAGGGGCGGGAAAGGGTCCAGCTGACCGCAGGGCTCCAGCCCCAGCCCGGCGGGAGGCTGGTGCTGCACGCCGTGGCGAGACGGGGCTGCGGCATCTCTGAGCGGGGCTTCTCTGGTCTCCACCGCTCCCTGCTTCCTCGGCTCTGGGCTACGACCCCCCAACAGCACGTGTGTGGAGCAGGGACTGGCCTGGGGGCCGTGAGGCAGAGGGACTCTAGCACCCACTGCACCAAAATGCTTCTTCCCTCCACTATCTCATAGTCCCCTCGGCGAAAACGGCACCCCCTCAAGCCCTGCGGGGGCTCCGGGCCCTGGACCCCGTGTCCCTCTTCACGCAAAGCACGTGCTTCTGCTCAGGCAGATGTGCACCTGTAGCAACGGCGGCTGCCAGCCAGGCTGTCCCTCACTCGGTAGAGCCAAGGGCGGGCCCACGTGCACCTGCCTCGGCCCACTGGGGTCTGAACGTGGCTTATAAACATGGACTCTGATCATAAAAGACTAACCGCCTCACTTCATGTCCACGCCCCCGACCCTTTCCCTTCTGATCTTGGGAAACCCGTTAAGGCCTAGAGATGAGACCCAGGCCAACTGAGATAGGAAGGGGGCTTTCGGCAAGGGCGCACTGGTCAGAATGAGCAGATGCCACCTTCAGGGGATGTGGCATCAAAGGGCTCTCGCCGAGGCCGGACATCTGGCCGGAGCCCCAGGGCAGTGGGCGAGGTTTCCACAGAGGCCTTTCCTGTTTCTGCGGCTGCACTTCGTGGAACCTCAGTCTGCAGGGCGCGAGGGCACTGGGCACTGCCATAGCTTAGCCAGTTGGCACGTGGGCCATGGGCGGTCCCTCCAGGGGTTCTGTGGGTGCCTGGGTGGGGGAACAGGCCTGAAAGCAGAAAGGGGCCATCACTAACCCTAGCCTGGGGGCAGCTCTTCCTCCAGCGTGTCCCGAGCTGTATGGATAATAGAGAGCAGCCAGAATCTAGATCTCCTCCCCACTGCTGCTGGAGTCATCAGAGGCAGTTCCTTTTTTCTTTCTTCAGCTTTCCTTTTTTAAGTAGGCTCTATGCCCAACGTGGGGCTTGAACTCACAACCCTGAGATCAAGAGTCGCATGCTCCACTGACTGAGCTGGCCAGGCGCCCCTCAAAGTCAGCTTCTTAGTTAAAAAGTGCGTGTGCTCTGAATATTGTTCTAAGTATTTGTCTAATAACCCCAAGGAAGGGGAGGCTGGATTCTGTCTTGAAAACAGCTCAGCCGGGGCCTGGACAGGGCAGCGTGTGGCAGGGCGGGCGACCAGGGTCTTGAGAATGGGGTTGGCCCTTCTCCCCACAAAGGCACAGATGACTGTCCTCTGGAAAGTGACAGTGACAGTGACAGTGACCAGGTGGAGCGGACAAGAGCTTCTCCGTCCACAGGGCTGGGGGTCGTCCTCGGCGCTGGCCGCGGGGCCACTACAGCAGCCAGGAGGGGGGCACGACACTGCCCCAGAGAGGGGCTTTCACGTGGTCTAGTTCAAGCTCAAGTTCAACATGTACTTAGTGAGCTAATCTCCTTTTCCTCAGAGGAGCATATTTTCAAGGTTATATTTCAGTAACTTGCAACCATCTATGTATGTCAAAACAAAATTGGTTCAATTTCCCTTTAGCACCAGAAACCACGGCACGAAGGTCGGAAGGGCTTGCACACTTTGCTGTTAGCAGCAGCCCGGGACGGGAACAAGAAAGGCAGCTCTGGAAAACCAACTATGAAACCAGAGAAGACGCCCCTCGCTGGGCTGGCTCCCACCACTGGATTTCTGACCAGGCGGTGTGGTCACAGATCAAGGACATCCCCAAGGGGACCCGAGGCGGTATAGCGTGTGCTAGGGGACTCCCAGGCAGGACTTCTCCTAGGACCACCTGGGACCACCATCCCAGGGGCTTATCACGGCCCCACAGGGTCCCTGTCAATTATAGGTGAACAGGTGAGTTTCCAAATCACTTCCGGGGCCCAGACCCTCACGACGGCAGGAACCATGCCCTTCACCCCCATCCCTGCCTCGGGGGAGAGGTGGGGTGGGAACTGGGTCTTTTGTGCTTTACCAGGTCCCAGTCGATGCTGCGAAAGAATGCATGAGACTTGATATCGGAAAATCCAGTCTGTGGCCGGCAACCGAGCCTCTCTTTGGGGTCCTAGGGGTCAGAGATCAAATAAGGACATGTCAGCATTGAGCAAAGAAGCCCCAAGTCACAGCAAGAGAAAACCAGCTTTCCTTCCCTCCAGGATAGAAAGAGCTTCCTCCAATCATCTCCAGCCAATCTTAACCAGCCCGGTGATGAGCAGACATTCCCTTCACTAAAAATTCTACCCCTAACACCGGAGGCTTCGTTAAATTTCTCTTTGGCATAATTTCGCATTTCATGTTTCGGCAAGTGTGACTAAAAACTGATGATTCACGGGACAGAGGTCAAACAGGGAGGCAGAGATTCACACCCACCCCGAGGCGTCCCGCAGCTGACCCTGGAAACAAGTGCCCGCGGGGCCCCGGTCAGCCCAGGCAGCCACAGACGGGACGGGACGTCAGGGCGGCCACAGTGTACCTTGTTTAAAAATCCTTTCAAGACGTGGGAGGCTTTCACCGAGAGGAATCGGGGGATCCGGATGGGTTTCTCCAGGATTACTGCAACGATCGGGGCCCTGGTGAGGAGTCTGTGTCCCTCCCGACGCTCCCTACTGTGTTTGCTCTGCCCAGCTACCCGGGAGCTCCAAACCCTTTCTGAGCAAGAGTGTCCAGGGCGCTCTTAGGGCCCTGGCCCCTCCTCCCTCCATGCAGCAGGGCCTCTCACCCACAGAAGGTCCCTCACACCCCCCATGTGCGCAGAGTCACACGTGCCCAGGACCACACAGGAGCCAAGAGCATGCTCACAAACGTGGGCGCCTCCACACACGACCGCCAGAGGGCGCCGTGGGGACCCGGTGTTCCTGGGCATCAGCATCCCGCAGGCAGGTGTTCTGCACTTCCGGATGGCCTTGGCCTGGACCCTAACGGTGGCCCCGCCCACCCAGGCCTCCAGGGCGCACACCTGGCAGGGGCAGGGAGGAGTCTGGGCTACAGGAGGGCAGGCTGTCTTTCCCGGTGGGGCTCTCACTTCCCACCCCAGCCTTTGCCTCCCTGAGAGCCAGTCTATGAGGACGTGGCTTCTGTAGCACTGCAGGGGCCAGCCCGGGACTCTTCCATCCATAGCCCCCCAAAAGAGGAAACACCTGCTCCGTGAGGTGGGGACAGACCCGCGCGCACAGTCTGAGGGCGGCACCTGAACCCTTGAGAGAAGCCCGGTGGCCCACGCACCTTGAAAAAGGTAGTCCTCTGTGTTCATGTCGGGGTTGTCGGTGATGATGTCAAAGGGGGAGCGCCCGGCCATCATCTCAAACATCAGGACGCCCAGTGCCCACCAATCCACGCTGAACCCTGGAGGGATGGCAGAGGCCCGGCACACGGGCGGTCGGCAGGGGCACGGCTGCAGGATGGGTGTGCTCCAACCGCTGAGGGAGGCAGCCGAGTGGGGCGGTGTGCACGTCTCTGACCGGCGCTGTGACCCCTCTGCCCACCATCGTGGGGCCCTTGTCTTTTTCTTTCTTAACTGGTTGCAAAGCTGTTTTCACATCAGGACCATTAACTCTATACTCGGCACTTTGCTGGTTTTCCAGATCGTCGTTTGGCCTTTGAACCTGCTTGTGGCCCCTTCGACCACACAGACGCGTAAAACTGAGCACACCTGTTGGGCAGCCGTCCTTTTCGTTTTCCTTCGGTTCACCTGAGCTTGAAAAAAATCCCTTCTCTAAGCCTGCAAAAACTCAGGGGCACCTGGGTGGCTCAGTTGGTTAAACGTCCAACTCTTGAGTTCAGCTCAGGTCCTGATCTCACGGTTCGTGAGTTCAAGCCCTGCATAGGCCTCTGTGCTGACCGTGGGGAGCCTGCTTGGGATTCTCTCTCTCTCCCTCTCTCTTAAAAAAATAATAAACTTGAAAAAAAAAAAAAACCCGTTTTTCACATCTTTCTATATTCACTGTTTCAGTTAATCTGACAGGGTTAACAATTTTATTGCACAGGGCAGTGGGAGTGGGAGAGCCTGGCTTCAGTCGTGCCCGCAGCCCCTAGACTGTTTGGGACAGTCGCCCCCATCCCGTCCCGGGCCAGCTTCTAGACTCTCCAACCTGGCCTGCCCATCTACTGGCTGTCCTTCCCTGTCTGGCTACTCAGCGACTTTGGTTATAGCAGCTTCCTGGGCACCTCCTGCCCCAGAGGACAAGTGACCCACCCGCCCAGCCAGCCAGCCCTCATTTTCCCGGCAAAGAAACGTTTAAAAACACTCGATGACATGTTTGTGATGTGCTCCACTGCAAACACTAGGACACAAGGGTGTGGGGTGTGCACACAGGTACAAAGCTGCATCACACATGTGAGCACACACACACACGTATCCGGGGCACACACACGAACACAGGCATGCGCACACACTGTAATCTCGTTTTCATTTCAAACCCAGAGAACGGAGAGGTGCAGACACGCTCTTCACGGTCTGCAGGGGCTGCAGGGCATTCTGGGTAACCTACAGCTGCTGGCTCGGTTTACAGCCGTGTCTCTCCCACTGACTGGGGGCAGGACACCAACTGGGGCTCCAGGCCTGGGGGCTCGTGGCTTCGTGTGGCTTTTCCTCCTTCCCAACCCCTTAGGGCTCCTCGACAAAAGGAACCCCACGCAGTGTCCTCCCACCAGGGGACGCTTGAATGGACACCCGGGACACGTGGGAGCCACACAGGTTCACACAGGGCAGAGGCCAGCGGGTGACAGGAGGGAACAAAGTGAGGGCTGTGTGTTTTAGGTGTAATTTGGTCAATAAAACCGCTCTCCCCGGCTGCGGGGTCCGTGGTTAGGTCCCCCGGCAGCGTCAGCCCCAGCAGGTCAACCTGACCTTCTGCGTCGCGCCCGCACCCCCGAGGGGCCAGGGGTCCCTTCCAGGGGTGGGGGGCTGTGCTCGTCCACAGCCGCCTGCCGTGGGCCTGTGAGCAGCCCCGTCCCGCAGCCCTGCTCACCGTACTCCTCTCCCCGCAGGATCTCCGGGGCGATGTAATTCGGGGTCCCGCAGAACGTGCTGGTGGTGTCGCCAGGGCCCAGGCCTTCCTGCGGGGACACAGTCAGTTACCAGGAAGGAAGAAAAGCGTCTGGGGTCGGTTAGAGCGGGAGGCGCCTTGCCCGGGCCCCTTCGGGCTGCGGTGACCGGGCGGTCAGCACCTCCGACCCTGAGGGGCTGAGACGGCCACGGTGCTATGCTGACCGTGAATTCCGGGGGCAGGCGGGGTGGCCCTGGGGGCCGGGTGCTCGCCTTGCACATGCCGTAGTCCGTTAACTTGATGTGGCCGTCCGCGTCGAGGAGGACGTTGTCCAGCTTCAGGTCCCGGTAGATGATCCCTCTCTCGTGTAAGAAGTTGAGCGCGATGCAGATCTCGGCGGCGTAGAATCTGGGGGCAGCAGAGCGAAGTCAACGAGGCGCCTGGACGAGAGGCCCGGGTCCAGACAGAGCGGGAGCTGGGGGGACGCCCGACGCCCTGGGGTCCTCGTGCTCAACCCGGCACGTGGGGCCAATCAGACCGCCAGAGGCGCTCGGCGTCCCAGACGTTAGGGGAGCGCGGATCGGGACCACCACACACCCCCTAGGATGGCCACTCTCAGAGACGGGCGGAAAGTAAGCCATCCTGGTGAGGACGTGGAGTGGACTGTGAGAGCACGACCGGTGGGCGCTCCCGTGGAGAACGGCACGGAGGGTCCTCAGTAAGCTAACACGGGAATGCCGCGCGACGCAGCGTCCCGAAGGGCCCGGTCACCGTAGCCAAAGGCGGGAGCAGTGTCAGACGGGCGGGTAAGCAAGACGGGGTCCCTCCACACAAGGGAACGTTCCTGAGCCTGCTGTAACAATGAAGCCTGAGGACGTCGGCCAGTCCTCAGAGGACACATGCCTAGGATTCCACTCTCGAGGTCTCTTGGGGGGACTGGGGAGGGGCTGGGGGCCAGCATTTCACAGGGGCAGAGCATCAGTTGGGGAAGATGGAAAGTTCTGGAGGCGGGCGGTGGGGATGGCCGCATGACTGTGTGGATGTGCCTCATGTCCCTGAGCTGTGCGTTTATAATGGCGAGAATGGTGTATTTTGGGTTACGTCTGTTCTACCACAATCAAAGAAAAAGAAAACGTGAGGCGCCCGGGGGGCTCAGTCGGTTAAGCATCTGATTCTTGATCTCGGCTCAGGTCCTGATCTCACGGTTCGTGAGATCAAGCCCCATGTCTGCACTGACAGCACGAAGCCTGCTTGGGATTCTCTCTCTGCCCCTCCCCCACGTGTGCCCTCTCGATCTCTCTCAAAATAGATAAACTTTAAGAAAATAAAAAATAAATAAAAAAGAAAACGCCACTGTGTGGGGAGCGAGCCATTCCTGGGTTAGTACTTGCCTTTCCCCGGAAAGGATGTAAGGTGACCAAAATCACTGTATGGGATTGATTTTTTTTTTTAAATGTTTATTTATTTCTGAGACAGAGACAGACAGAGCATGAGTGGGGGAGGGGCAGAGAGAGAGGGAGACACAGAATCTGAAGCAGGCTCCGGGCTCTGAGCTGTCAACACAGAGGCCGACGCGGGGCTCGAACTCACGGAGTGTGAGATCATGACCTGTGCTAAAGTCGGACGCTCAACCGACTGAGCCACCCAGGCGCCCCCGCATGGAGTTGATTTAAGGGAGGTGAGGAGGAGCAGGGAAAACCATGGAAAACAGGAAGGAGGTGGAGAGGAGATTCACACTTAGGGCTGAGGTGCGGAGGGCGGGCGGGGTGGATGGCCCCGAGAGTCACTGTCACTTCAATAGAAATGGGTTATTCTCCTCCGAGAGCCATCGCCCTGCATCCGTGAACCAGAACCAGAGGCGGTGGCCATGATGCCCACTCAGGTGAGTTCCCAGCAGGAGTGTGCCCCCACCCCCCATTTTGGAAACAGGAAAAAGGCAAAACAGCTTGGCGGTGTCCCCGTGCGCACATACTCGCCTAGGAAGCACCCACTTCTCCGGGCGACGTGCCAGCTGGCTCTGGAGTCTGACACTCGGCAGGGGACAGTGACGTCCTCTTTGCTGTGCCCCCCCGGGGCCCTCCCAGCTCATTGCCGGCCTGTGCCCGCCTGCCCACACCCACCTGGCATGGTCCTCTGGAAGCTTCCTCTGTCTCTGCATGTGGAACATGAGGTCCCCGCCGTTGACATACTCTATGACCAGGAACAGCCTGGAGGGAGACAGAGGGTGTTTGGGGCTGAGACGCCAGGGCGGCCCGTGTGGACCTCACCAGCGGGGGTTCAACGTGGGGAAGCCCCGGCACCAGGAACGCTGAGCCAGGCTGAGGGCATGTCAGCTCTCCTCCCATGAGGAGGGAGGCCCCTGGGTCACCTGACCCCTCTCGCGGGTGAGGAATGCGGCCCAGCCTGCAGAGTTGGGTCACTGGAGCAACATCCTGGGGGGCGTGCGCTCAGTTCCAACAGAGAACACCGGGACAATCCCGTTCAGCCGCTCGTGTCCCTCAGCACAGGAGCAAGCACTCCCCCCCCACGGAGCAGGCCTTAGGGTAAAGGAGGTGACGGTATGGCAGGGGCGGGGGCGGAGGCCACTGCGGGAAGGGAGGGCACCACGTGCACAGGTGGCTGGGGAAGGTGTCCCAAGAGGGCAGACGCAGGTCATGGAGCTGCAGGGCCACCCCGGAGGCAGAGGGGACAGGAGAGCGGTGTGCGGGTGCACAGGCCAGGTGAGGGGTGACGACGTCCGGCGAGTGACCGCTCTGGCCGCCGAGTCCGGGTGGACCCCAGGGAGGCACAAGGAGGTGCCCTGTTGCCGGGCGGGAGCCCAGGAGGTTTGGATGGGGGCGGGGCGGTGAGCAGGCACCAGGGACGGCGGGCGAGGTTGCGGGGGGCTGGACACCGGACGGACAGCCCTGGCGCAGGGGTGACTTCATGGTGAGAGGCCTGGGGGCAGCTGGGCAGGGCGGCCCGAGTGACCCTGTGTGATCCCGCGACTAAGAAACTAAAACCACACACTGTCCCAGTCTCCAGGCCATCTACCGCGTGGTTCCTACTGCATGACCTCTTTCTCGAGTTCGGTAAGATGCCGTTTTCAAAGTTAAACTCACGCACAATCTTCCAGAAACACCCCGTTGAGGGCAGATCATGGTTCCTCCGGGCGGGGAGTGGGAGGGTCACAGGTGCCCACAGGACCGGAGAAGATGGGCTCCAGACCACCTACCAAGGTTCTGACACACACTTTACACACTTACAAGAGCAACGGCCCGAAATCTGTGAGTCCGCAGATGGGAACCGGCCCGAGCAGCCCCGGCCACCCGGCCCGTGGCGGGGGACGAGTCAACCCTCACTCCGCTCCCCTGCTCCAAAGGGCACATCTGGTGCAGAAACCTGGACCTCCCCACGGACTCGGCTGCGTCTGTGACGCTCCCCCCGCACAAAGCCTCGCCCGCTCACGTGTGTGTTGTGTGTCGGCATTCACGCTGCAGCAGAGGCAAGAGGGTTCACGCCACCATCTGGCTCTGACAGTTTGCACAGGCGGCCACCAGGACGGAAGTGTGGCAAAGGTCATTGGACCCCTGGGAAGAGACCCCCGGACCTCTAACCCCGAGGGTGACTTCAGATGCAGGGCAGAGATTTTCCACAAGGACCAGGAATCACGTCCCCAGGCGATACGGCTCCCTTGACAACCTGCACCCCCCGCAGCGACGTTAACCCCAACGCTGGGCTCCCCGGGAAACGCTGCTGGGGCGGGGCCCGGCCCGCCTGGGGTGACGTCAGGTGATGATGCAAACCCACGCCGCGGCCAGAGAGAATAACGGGACGCTAACTCTGGGGAGAGCATCGGGAGCTTTAAGGAGCCGAAAAATGGAGGGGACGTTTAAAAACGGAGCAGTGGAAACAAAGGTAGTTTCTTTTTCCACCCAGAGAAAAGCCGTGGGAACCTGAGGGCACGCGGAGCCAGGCTGGGCTGGTCTGTGGTCCTGGGGTAATTCCCAGGTCGAGGGGTTTGTTCACTTTGCAAACCTGATCAAGCCCCAATCCCGGTGGAGGAGGAGCTCTGCCTTCTTTGCCAAGGCGGCGGCAGACCTACATTTTCCTCCGTTTTTGGTCTACAGATAAACCTAAGACTGCTTTCGGCGTTTCCTCAGAGCAAAACTGCACCAGAGTCACAGGGCTCACCTCCCGCTAGTGGGTGCCTGGCACGCGGGGCAGCTCACGTGTGGCACGAGTCCCTTCACCCACAGCCCCTCCCAACCCAGAGGGGGGCCGGCGACAGGTGGAGGAGGCCTGGGGCGGCCCTTCAGCCTCGGATGGCCAACCTCTGCCCAACTCCCCCCAGCCTGCGTGTCCGCCACCAGGAAGGGAAGGAAGCAGGACTGAGGAGCCCAGGTCCGCGCCTAACCCTGCCCTGACCCCCCACCAGAGGGGGACCGAGGGGCTGTGCCCCGCTGGCTGCAGTAAACCCGGGCATGGGACCCCCACGGACCCCCACAGAGCCTCAGAGCGAGAGCCCAGCGTGCACTCACTCCTCAGAGCCGAGGACCTAGCACCCCCTCCCCCACATCTCCCCACCCCTGGGGAATAAAGCCCCCAGCCCCCCAAAACAGTCAGACGGAAACACCGATGCCACAGGATAGAGCGAGCTTGGGTCAGGAGGTGATACTATGAACTAGGTAGGGGCCGGCGCGACCTGTTTGTAAATAAAGCTTTATCGGGACACTGGCGAGCGTCGTGTCTCCGTGCTGGGTAGGGCTGCCTGCACCACGGCAAACACTTCCGACACGAACCGAGCGGCCCTCAGAGGTGAAAATCCTTACTGTCTGACCCTCTGAGAGAAAGTGCAGGCCCCTGGTAGGAGAAATAAGAAGGGCTCATGCGGCCTCACCGAAGCTCGGGCAGTGACCTCAGCACATCCGCGCCTTAACGGTCTGCCCGGTGACCGAGAGGCAAAGCTCTACCCCTCCCCTACTTCACACGTGGGAGGCCGGGGCGTGCAAGGCTAAAGGACTCCCTCGGGGTCACGGTCGCTCTCGACGAGACCTGATGTCACACGAGGCCGGGGCACCGAGACCCCAGGCTCAGAAGCCCCGCTTGCACACCACGGGGGCCGTCGCCCCCCCCTCCCATGAGTGAACGGTCCCGGGAGGAAGGAGAAGCCGCTCGGGGGACAGAGGAAAAGAAGAACTCGTGGTGAACGGCAAGGAGGGGAGGCAGGAGGCAAGGCCGGTGAGCCCCCCAGGACCGGACTGGTCGATGATGGCAGAGAGGTGCCGGCCAAAGGCGGAAGCTTCCGGAGCGGGAGACACTCCAGAACACACCCACCCGTGGCTGGGGCCTGGAGGCTCGGCCCGGGGACGCAGGGGCCGAGCTGGGGCAGGCGTCCTCACCCGGGAGAGGGAAACACAACGGCTCAGGAGGCCACCTGCGCACGGAACGGAGCAAAGCAAAGCAGGAGAGGCCACCGCCGCGAAGCGGCCACAGGACGCCGGCGGGTGCGCGTTCCCGCCAGGAAAACGTAAAAGTCATGTGAACAAAGGCTGGCAGGCAGAGGGGGAGGCGGCTCCTTCCACAGCCCCAGCCCCAGGCGTCTCGCGAGGTCCTGCCAAGAGACGCCAGCGCAATTGAGAATCTTCTAGAGAATACAAGAGAAAACTCAAAAATCCAGTGAGGACGGCGCAAGAAGCGTACAGAACGGATATTGGTGAAAACTCCTAGAAGAACCACCCGCAAACCAAATCTAAAAGCACATTGACAATAATGCACGCACGTGGCCTTGTCCCCCAGGGAGCCAAGCAAACATCAACCCCACGTGTACCTCGTGACGGCACAGCTCAGGGGCTTAGTAACGGCTGCGTCCCAACATGGTGGGGACACTGACACGTCCTTTCTCCCTTTTACTTTTATTCTTTATTTTTAAAATGTTTATTTATTGTGTGTGGGGCGGGGAGGGGCAGAGAGAGACTCCCAAGAAGGCTCCCAGGTCAGCACGGAGCCCGACGCGGGGCTCAAACTCACAAAACAGGAGGTCACGACCTCAGCTGAACTGACTCAGGTTGCTTTTCAACCGACTGAGCCACCCGGGCACCCACGGCCACGTTCTTTCTGGACGGTAAACTAGAAACAAGGCCACTATCCCTGCTGGTTACTGGCCTGTCCGCTCTCAGCCTGTCCGGAACCTTCATGCAACTCCTGGGGCTGGGAGCCCGCGAACTGTAGCCCAGGTTCCCGGGGGAGGCCCCGGAGGAGACCAGGTGACAGTCGTCCAAGCGTCAGGAGGGGACGGCTCCGGCAGGCGAGGCACCCCTTCTGCGGATGCAGAGCCCGGTGTGACGGCCGCAGGTGGGGACACCGGCCTCTGCCGTCCCCCACCTCCCCGGCCTCTTGCGGGAGCAGGTGTCTGTGTGACGCTCGTCAGGTGGCTTGGTGCCACTTTTCCCACAGCAGCTGCCGATGCGCTCACGGCGCAAACATCAGAACACTCCCACGAGGTCGGGAAGAGGCCAGGCTCGCCCACTGCCACCCGCCGCCCGCGCGAGGCAGCACGGGCCGCGTCATCAGAGAAAGAGGTGAAGAGACGCGTGGACGGGAAGCGAGGGGCGGCCTCCTGTCTACCAGCGTTCTAAGCACACGTCTGAAAAGCCAGGAGGGCGCGAAGCTTAGCCGGCCGCTCTGCGGGGAGGAAAGAACTCGGGCCGGAACGACACCAGGGAGTGGAGACTCCACACGGAGAAAACTGTACCCACGTCAAAAAGCAAACAGCAGAAAGGAAAAAATAAGACGCAAAAGCGTGACAGTGAAAATCCAGGGTGCTGGGGGTCCGCTGAGTTGTCTCCCCCCCCCC